ATATTTATGGAAAGTACTGCAAACACAAAATGTCAGATAATGCTTAAATGGAAGCAATTAACCAAACAAGAAAGACATTGCAACCACTGTCAGAAACCTGCAGGGCAAGTAAAACAGTCCGTGTGGACAGGCAGAATGCACTGGCAGAAATGCTATCTTGGAACCCATAGGCTGATTTTTGAAAAATACATATATTTTTAAGTGCATTCATTTGCTGATAATTGTTTGTAGAGATTAACCGAAATGACCGGCGCACAGAGGAGGAAGTATTGGCTTGGATATCCAATGAATACACTGGACTAGCCTGAAATATTAGCCATTGCCCCTGAGGCCTAACATTGTTAGACCGATAGCTGACAGGTTTCGAGATTGATCAAATATAAACTAAGGTTCTGTCTGATTTTATTAAAACTACTCATGGGTGCAGGAAGGTGGGTCCTGTAGCACCCCTATTGACAAGGGATGGAACAACACAGTTTGTAGATAGTTGACTATCTCTTGGGCTACCTGAACATTTGTTTTAAAGTTTGAACAGCGTATGATAAGGTACCTGTCAGAAAATATATGAAAAAAAAAATGCTGAAAATGTGCAGATCTAATTAATTCGTCCGAACTGACGTTACAACCTCATCACATCAGCTCAAAGTGCAAGGGTCGGGCTCAGCTCATGGGGCAGCTAGCAGTAGATAAAGAGTGCCCCAGGAATGAGTCCCTAAAACCTGGAAATAAGTTAGCATTTTAGCACTCCTGGGCCCCTCGTCTCAAAGTCAACGGGTTTTTTCGAATGGGTTTTCGATTAGACACCTGAAATAAGGTCTATGGTTAACACAGAGACTTTAATGTTTGTTCTATGTGGCTACATGGCTTTATAGCCTCACTGTGGTGGTGACGTTAAGTCATGCGACAATGGTGTAGTTTAATTATTGCCTATTGTTTGCTTTTTACTTATAGTGATTGCATTTACATTTCAAATATCATAAAAGTAGTGTTCATTTATGAAGGTTATCTTGTTGAACAAAACGTGTGAGTATCATAAACATTTGTTTGCCACTGAGCTTATTTTCTGCAGTAATCTAAAATCCAATGTAAAAAATTCCATAGGCTTTTTGAAAAGGGAACCAGGACATTGCTAACATCTGTGTTGGCCAACAGAAAAGTGTCATCCCTGGAGCACTCTATTTGTTGTAGCAGGAGCTAATCAATAGTGCAGACAGGCTGAGAAAGAACAGAAATTTGTCAGGACAGTTTTTGAGCTGCTTTTTAGACACTGCGGGGGCATATCCATTGGGATGGAGTTTGATAGCAGCTAATGATGAAGTTGACGAAGAGTGGCTTCAGCAAACAGATAACTGGATGTCCGCCACCATTCAAAAGGAAATACTAGAGTGCCAACAGTAATGTTTACAATGTTTCCAGGGTGGTAGTAGCTCAGTCCATAGGGACTTGGGTTGGGAACCGGAGGGTTGCCTGTTCAAGTCCCCGTCCGGACCAAAATATGGAGCGTGGACTGGTAGCTGGAGAGGTGCCAGTTCACCTCCTGGGCACTGCCGAGGTGCCCCTGAGCAAGGCACCGAACCCCCCAACCGCCAGCCCACTCTGACATCTCTCCACTTAGTGCATGTATAGGTCCAGTTTGTGCATGTGTGTGTTCGGACCTGTGTGTAATTGACAACAGAGTGAAAAATTGAATTTCCCCTCGGGGATTAATAAAGTATATTAAAAAAAAAAAATCACTATATAAATAATATTCCTGACATCACAGCACTGACTGAAGTTTAATTGTCATCACTCAGTATCAGGTCTTCTCCCTGCACTTTGTCCTCCTCTCTCTGCTGTGATTCACTGCCTGCAGGTAGCGCTGGTAGATGGAGGAGGGGCTGGTTTATCACAGCCAGCAGCTAAGTTTACAAGAATTAGCCAAATTTTAAGATAACTGAAGACTAAGCTAAGCAGTTATTTAGTGTAAGCTTTTGTTTTAGCTTGTTTGTAACAATTTGCTATTAGCTGAGCCAGTGCATTGTGCTTATGTGAAACCGTGACGGTAGTGGCAGGTGAATGAGAGACAACAGACTAATATATCGCTTTCTACATGTTTATGCTTGTTGAGCTGGTTATTGATAAAGTATTGCCTTTTTAATCGCAAATGATTAATTGCACTTACAGTAAAGAGCGTAGTCAACATCAACTTGATTAATCTTCACTATACCATGTCCACCATGGCCTGTCAGCTCTTTTTGCTTGTTGAACCCTTGTATTAATAAAGTATTGGCTGTTTATGAGCAAAAGTTTTATTGCACTTACATTACTTACAGTAATGTAAATAATGCTCACAAAGTGGAGTAATTTTCAAGTTATCTTGCCTTCTTCTCTATCGCAGCCTCTCAGTTCTGCTGTTCGCTGACTTCACCCTATGTTGTATATGTGTGTGTGTGTGCGTGCGTTCATGTAGAGGTCCGCCCTTACATAGAGAGCAGGGGAGAGGCTACAGTATGATCAAACATCAAAAAGTACCGATAAAAGAACCAATAATGTTGGAGCTTATTAATACTACGATCTTTAAGAATTTGTCCCTGGGCCTGTTCAATACCAGGTTTTGGTACCCATCCCTGTTACTGTTGCCTATTTCTTGCCAAAAATGATGTCAGAAACATGTTTTAGTGCACTATGTAGCTGTAATATGAGAGTTTGTAATCAGGAAGTGGGTGCCATACTGTTTTCTCTATTGTGATATTGGACACACATACCGAAGCAATGCATCATATTCCATAATGTCCAATTTTATTGACATAATTTATTATTGACTTAAACATCAGTTTTAATTGTCATACAAGTTATGTTGAGGTTGCATGTTTTTGCATTAATAACAAAATAATTTCTGTAAGTTTGGTTTTTAGCATCTTTTTAGACAGTTGTGTTTGGTTACTTTTTATCACCTGTCCCCTGGGTTCACAGGCTTGCAGAATGTTGATGTGCACAAGTAAAAAAAAAAAAAAAGCCAGTTATTTTGGGTTGTTCCATTATGTAACATTAGATTAATCAGCAATGAAGTTACTTAGCAATTAAATATTTCTATCCCGTATACATTTTACCACCACAGCTAAGCGTCACTGTCAGGTGTTCCAAACACAAGTATGGCTGACTGTGAACTGATTTGGCTGATTATGATGCCTGAGTAAGTTGCTGAACACAGCTGCAGACTTAAACCCAGATTCTGTTTCAGGCTGCAGCCAGTTTGTACACTTAAGTGTATAGGTGGTGCAGGTCACAGAGAGACTACATGACCATCATATAACTCTTAGAAATCAGTTTCGAGGTGGTCAGAGGAAGGTAGTGAACCCATTTCGTACAATCAGCACTCAGTTACCCCTATCCTTTATCTCCAACTCTGCTATTCGGCCTGTGTCGTGTTTCACAGCTTCTTCAAGAACTGTTTACAGGAGTGATCCGTTTACATGTGCCAAATTGCGTATTTAATAACCGAGACATGCCCTGTAACAGAGCGCATGCTTTTAGAAATCAACACCCAGGAGATATATTCACTGGTGGACACAAACTACAAGCACACTCATTGGTGTCAACATATTTTCTACCTGAATTATTTTCTGATCTCATATAATTTCAAAATGATCTAAGTCAATTTTTAGGAAAATTATCATGACCTTTAAATATACATTCATCTGTTGACATTTTGTGTCTCTTCCCCCTTAATAGAATAATAAACTAAATGTTTTGAATCAGTGATATAATTACAGAGTCCCTAAGATTTAATGTTGAATGTGTCAACCCGGCTGTTTTCACAGCAATGTATCTCTGAGTATTTGTCACGTGTGGCATTTTCAAATAGTTCTTGTTAATTTGGAGTAATATGGTTTATTTTTGAATGTTAATTCAAAAACCCATTATTTTTTTTACTTTTGCAACGACAACTCTTTCATATTCCTCATGTTCCCTGTCCTAAATTTTGATGTCGACTGATATGAACATGCTTGGTTTTGTCCATGTCTTATCGAATCTCTTGACAGAAATAAAATGTATGAATTCCAGATATGTTGGCTGCTTCATGGCCCAGTTACTATCTTGACAGGTGTTTATGCAGTGTGATTTGCCTGATATGGACTTATGGAAGTTGACTGGTGTCATATTGTTGCAGGTGGTGGTTTGGCAGAAGGCCAAGGTGGCCGATCACAGAAGTGCCCTCGTCGCTACACTGGGGGCCGGCGCCGTTGCCAACCTGCTCCCTTGCCACCATCACCAAGAGCAACCAGAGGTTAGTTAAGGGGAAATATGCAGAGAGGGGAGAGTTTTCTTTTGTTTTTCATAACATTGCTGGCAGAGCTCCATGCATGTGCACTAGTTAAAAAAACACGGTTGATAAGTCAGTTTGATACAGTTAAGTCTTTTTGATTGTCACATGGACCATTGCTCAGCTAGACAAAGTCACCCTTGAACAGTGTAACAAAGGATGCCATAAATGTGAAGAGACGAGATGGAGTGCATTGCACTCCGATGGATGAGTGTCACAGGCACATAGCACGGCTGAGCTGGCACAGAGCCGCATGCTACCCCTCCCACCTTGTGTCCACAACTTGCACTCTTTGCTCTCATACTGTGACTCCCATGCCCCTTTGCCCTTCATTGTGGGGTCATTATGGAAGTTCATCCTCACAAGACACACACTTTCTTAGAAAATGTCATTGTCAACAAGTCCATCCTAAATTGACGTGTCATTTAGTTTTAGTCAAATTCAATGAAAAATATGGTGATGTGGTTGAAATAATGTCATTTTATGTGTTTCAGAAATTTTCTTTGACATTGTGTGACATAATTACTAATAATCTTAAAAAAAAAAATTTAAAAACAAGTTTGAAACGAGTTGATTTCCATTGGAAATAAATGATGATTCAATGTCTTATTTGTTTTGCTTACTTTAGAATGGCCTAATTGGTCTAAGGCCTAGTTAAGATGGATGCTTTTTGCAGACCAAATGAGAGCATGCACGTTATACTTGACCGTGAGCTAATAACCTCATCCTGAAGGCCTGGGCTGAAGCCAGCAAATGTGGTCAGTTGGTGGCAGGCCAGCTATTCCCTTGCCCTTTTCTTGAGTTCTTTCCTGATGAAGAGTGAGTGATTTTTGTTAGCTAAGCTTTGCTGTGCTGATTGTAATCAAATTATTGTCGAGCGGTGACTTTCTGCTTGGTCACGATAGGTGTCATGTGGCTCGTACCTGCTGCGAGGCTCCCAAGTAATCCAGTCTGACAGATATGGAGCAGCCCTTTTCACCCTGTTTCTCTCTCATTTTCCGTCTTTGTTGTTGTTATTTTGCTGCTGCACTTTGGTGCCCAGTTATGAGAACGACCTTTCACCTTTTCCTCTTACTCCCTGTAGCAATGAAAGAGAACTTTTCTCCTCTTTGTCCCCAACACCCAAAGCTTAGTGATCAAGGGAACCAGGTTGACAATTTCATCAGGGCCTCGCTCCAGGAGAGTTGTAAGAGCTGTTCCTCTGCAGAACAAAATGTGACACTCGTTTTTGGCAGCATGACTACGCATAGCCGCGGCCCTCTGGGGCCAGAGGTGCCATTCGTGCTCTCATAAAGTGACCCTAATGAGCAGAAATAGAGAGAAGCATATGTGCCCCGACCTGAAACAGCAGTTCATTTATTAACTTCATTGGTGTGCGTTGCTGCTAATAATGAGCCCGAGGCTATGTGGAAAAAAAAGCATAGTTATGCTGCTTGCAATCTGTAGCACATTAATAGCTTTCCATAATTTCTTACTAGCTTACATTCATAATGGAGTTGTGCAATTGTTCAGCTTTATGTCGAGTCATCAATTTTAGCTCATGAGAACTGCCTCTGGCATGAGTCTGGGTGAAAGGTGATCATGTACGACATGCTATGGACAAGTTCACAGTGGAGCCTGCATGTTGATAAAACAAACTCAGGCATCTCACTGCCTGTCTTTCTCCATCAATCCAAATTTGTGTGAAAAGAAGTTTGGTATTTATATACATCGAATATGTAAAGAAGTTGATGAGATGAACGTAGTGAACCTCTAAGGGAATGTAGCTTTACTACTCGTCCTCATTATGCCAGGACAGTGTATGTGTGGTATGCTAAGACAGATGCTGAGTGCCTGTTTCCTTGCACACAGCCAGAATTAATGGCATCATTACAAGCTGTGCAGTTGTGCTGTCAGCGGAATGGATCATCTGTGCCGTCCTAATTGAAAATGTAATGATGATAACGCTCATGTAATTTCAAGTCTTCAGAACTAGTAGTTACACTGTTATTTGTTAAGTAGTGTGATATTTTCCTCACTGTATTTTTTTCTGGCATGTTTATGTATGACACCTATTTTGTGGTTATCTGTTGGATCATTAATATTATCTTTTTTTTTTTTTTTATTCAGATTGTTTTAGATGGCTTTTTTCCAAAGCCTGGAGCAGATTACTCTTCTACAAGCTCATCTAACCCTGACAAAACATTTATATTTGTCAACAACCGGCCTGTCCACCAAAAAGATATAATGAAGGTAGAGTCGTTCTGGATAACTCAGCACAACACAATTCATACTTTTAATAATTTTTTTGGTATCTGATGCAATTCTTATATTTCATGTTTACATGGACACCTGTGATGGATCATCAGTTGGTGCGTCAACACTACACCGCTCAGTATCCAGATGACCAGGCCAGAAACCGCTACCCCACCCTCATGCTTAAAATTATGGTCCCACCATCCTCAGTCGACATCAATCTGACACCAGACAAGACCCAGGTTCTTCTTCATAACAAGGTAGCTATGATACTTATTATATTTGGATAGAATTTGGTCAGATGTAATTTTAGTCATGGTCCAGCCGTTAGAGGAATAAACCCAAAACCCCTCATCTGCCAGGTGTGATTGGTAATTCAATTCTGTGTACCATCAATATTAGGGATGCACCAATTGTGAATTTCTGGGCCGATTGCAATGTTTAAAATTCAGCCGATAGCCAAAACTGATGGGTTTTTTAATTTATTTTTTTGAGTTTGTTTCTTTTTATTTATCACAGTTCCCTCTCTAGTATCTCTATTCTATACTGCTGTAAAAATAACAAATTTCTCATTCAAACAACAATATTTATTTAAGTTTGAGAGTAAGATCTCTGTTTGTCCCAAACATGTTTTCTGTTGTCCACAAGACGATGGGACGCTGTTAGTATCAAGCCCTGCTTTTTATCCTGCGTAAAATTGATGTGACGCAGCAGAAAAACATCAGCCACTTCCAGCTTTGAATGTCATCTTGTTTGTGGATAGGCTAATACCAGTCAACAGAGCGAATATTGGTAGATAAATCGGTGCATCCTTGGTTGTTGTTTTTTTACCATTTATGATCTGTCTGAAATTTAGGAGGCTGTGCTGATGGCAGTAGAGATATTTCTGGTTTCTGTCTATGGCCATCGGCCCAGTGGTGACCCACCAGCTGAGAAGCACCTCAGTCATGAGACGTCCCCGTCACTATCTAGTCCTTCGCAGACTGATGCTTCACAATCATACAATGAACAAAGTAAAGACATGGACGACAGTCTCACCAACCACCATGGTAACATGCTTGGAGATGTACCTGAACACAGTGAAACAGCTCTGTCAACAGCAGTAAGCACAGCTGCTTCACTGGACTGCCAGACCTCAAACGGCAGCTCTTCATCCTCTGTAACAGAGGACTGGATCATCAACCAAATCCCAGCTGGACTTGAGTCTAAATTTTCTCTCTGTGACGACGAAATGGCTCAAAGCTGCACCCCGACAGCAGACAGAGGTTCAGCAAGCAAGTCCCCTGAGAGACTTGAGGACAATGCTGCATCAGGTGCAGATGCGAGCAAAGACCACATATCAGCTGAAGACTGGAGCAGGGGGACGGCTTTGACTGACCCTGTATCACGAGAACCCTTACTGCCCGTCAAAATCCACCAGCCCTCAAAGAACAATAATTCCGACTCAGATGAGATCAAGTGTCCAGACAGCTCTAACAAAAAGATGTTCAATGCTATAACAGAGAAGCGGGCTGCTCTAACAGCCTACGACCTGATCAGCAACCGTGCCATGAGGGCACCACTGTCTCCTGCCGCCCTGTTCGAGAAGGAGGCCAGAACAGAGATCCTCAGGGAGAAGCCTACAGCCAGCCTGCAGGATATCAGCATCGCCGTTCATGAGAGGTGGAAAAATCTGAGGGAGGAAGACCGTAAGAAGTGAGTTTCCAGACCTTCACCTTTCCAAGCAGTTGTTTCCATTTCTTATTTGCAAGGCAGAGAGAGGGGGGAAAGTCTGACCTGTCGTTTGCATGTGTAAAGCCTAGTCTGGAAATTTTGTTGATATGAGCTGTGTTTCTAATTTCCAGACAACTATGTCTAATAGGGGCTGAGGTAGATGACATTTTCCGCAGTGCAGCAGGTGTCACTCATGGTTAAATGTCCTCTATTGCCAGAGTATACCATCGACCACGTGGCAGACTTTATTGAACCTTAAGGGAATATCAAATCAACTGAAATTGTCTTTATTTCCCATACCTACAATAGTTCCTAAACATTGATTCATAGAGACACTGACTGATATATGAACTCACTCTTCCCTTTATACACAGTCTCTGATATTTCCTGATTTCCAATTCCAATACCACAACATGAATTTAATATCTAAACGTACTGTTTCCAGGTTCAGGTTCCAGTCTCTTGTCCTTTAAAATCTCACCTACACTTACTTCACGAGTGGTATGAAGAGTGACACATAGTTGGCTAGTCAAGAACAGATTTGGCACAGAACAGATGGAGGTAATGAGTTTTTGTGTTTGACCCTTGCTCCTTCTGGGTCAAAGGATTTACATTAATGAAGGTAAGACAGGGATGGAGTTAGTTGAAAAACAAACAAAATATAAACATATGGTGATCAGAGATATGTGCATTTTTGGTAGAATAGTGTGCCATTGTCCAGGCTAAAGATGTGCATTTGCTTCTCACTCAAGTTTGAGATCTCAGTACACAAAAAGAAATTGAAAATGGTGCTATTAGCAGGTCAGAGAGCACAGCACAGTGCACAAACCACTGGCAACTCCTAAGTTTGGTCAACTGATAGTGTTAAAATCAATTATGAAATAGGAGAAGAGGTGAATCTTGTCACTATTAATAATGGTCCAGATGGATGGACACGTCAGCAAAAAGTACAAACTGTGCTACCTACTGATCTCTAGCCACTGAGCTACTCAGCAAGTAGCATTGTGGAATAACACCAGTACACTGTGCTGAAGGCACTTCAACCCAATTATGTTAAATTACTGCATACCAATTTAAAGTAATTGCAAAGTTGGAAAATGTGTATCAGCAGTAGTTGGGGCCTTATGTAAGGTATGGAAGAGTGTATGGAAAAAGACATCTGTTTAGAATCCCGCCTTGCTGTACTGCTGTCTTAAACATGAAATAGGATGTGGCAAGGACTTGGCTCCTTTCACCTCCACTGTTAAGTGGCATACCACTTCTAGGAATTACACTAGAACAAGTTCAAGAAACAGGTTCTTTGAATAATGGGGTGCTGAAGTGTGAGCCCTAATGCTTAACATGTGAAGATCTATGGAAACATGAGTTGGCAAACTGTTTTGCTGAGGAAAGTACCCTATAGATTTATCAAATTTTCAACATGTTGTTTACATGTGCACTGAGAACAAGATAGTACTTCGTATCTGAAGTCTTATTTTAGAACATACTGTAGTTTATTCTAGGTAGATGACAACAGATGGCAGCTAAGCAGCAGTGTATCACTCATTTAGTGATGAAGGCATGTAGATGTTAGGTGGACTTAGATGCAGAGGTTACATGTTACTGCTGTTTCTACAGCATAATTTGTGTGTGAAGCAGGTCTTAACTACATTTTGAAATGTAGTCATTTAAATGCTGTTGACACAAATACCATGCATAACGTAGACATTTTAGTGATAATCCTTCCATAAAGTTGGGGGACTGACAAGAGACAGGTTAAATGAAGATTGGTCAAAACTGAAGCAACAGAGACAGAGATATCCTGACTTGTAGTTCCTAGTACTGTATGTGTCAAGCCCCCAAAACACCGGCTTTTTGGCTGGACCACAGCAAAGCAGGGGGCAGCCCTACAGAACCGAAAAATCTTCCACTGAGTCCCTGAAAGTTAATAAAAGAATGATGAAGTTGCACCACTGGCCAGTGAAGTTTGAGTCACCCTATTGGCTGTTACTCTTTCGAAATGAATAGGCACAACAGTGTTTCCGCTGGTAACGCCATTGCCTCCTCCATTAAATATTAGAGATGTTCCAATATCATTTTTTCCTCCTGATTCTGATTCCTGAATTTGTGTATCAGCCAGCACTGAGTACCAGTCCGATACCATTGCGTTGAAAACAAAAAAAGAACAGCTGTATATTACTATCCCTGTATGGGTGTGAAATCATTGCTGTTATTGTATGGCATGGCTCAGGTTAAAAACCTTTGTAAAACATGGACAAGTATGCCATAGAACTTTATTTTATTATCTAGTTTGACATTTTGCTAATGGCTAACATGACACTTTTTACTGCAAATCATTTTGTCTTTGCCTCTCAAACAGTAGCTGTCAGTGGCCGCACGGCGAAATCTTCTGTGTAGGCTACTGTAAAGTTTAGCAGTATTGGTGCATAGACTTGTGTACCAGCCGTAACCCGATCACATATTTTAGGCAGTATCAGAGGCATTTCTGATACTAATATTGGTATCAGTACAGATCTATCAATCATCTGATCCACTTTCTCTATCCATACATGGTTGTTATTTCTGCCAAAAGCCTTTGCTGCTCTATCCACAAAGCTCGACCCATAAAGCTTCATTTAAATAGATGGATAAATAGAGATGCACCGATTGCAATTTTCTTTCTTGTAAGAACTATAAGCGACAGCAAACACAAACATTTATCAACTTTCATTTCATGGAAAATTAATTGTATGTTTGTAATAAAACAGGGGCTATTATAACATTTTTTTAAAAACTGCACCAAGTTACAGGACCTGTTCTCACTCAAACTCAAAATAGAAAAGGGCTCCAGGTTACTGGGCAAAGCTTATTTATACTAATAAAATTTCAGTGTATTCCTTTTTATCTAACATGTTTCACTTTCTCACAACAAAACCGGTGCAACAGATCTATATATGCTCAATTGAATTATTTTCATATCAGAGAAGAATCAAAGAAAATATTAGTCTATACTGTGCACATAGGCCTATTATAGAGTCAAATCTGTCTTAAACTGTGTATTTATTTATATATCTATTTCTTTATACAAAACTATTAATGAATCAGTGTCTATTTACAAAAATGTAAAGATGTGTATATTTTATTATATTAACTTCCACTCCTGCAGTGAGCAGCATCTCCCTGCCCACCCAACACTGTGTGCAAGATCCAAGAAGAGAGGGGGAGAACTGGCACTGTTGGCAAAAGAGCTGGTAACTGCAGTTACTCTGAGCAGCATACATGGGAATGAATCATAATATAGTATATATAGCATTTTATCCTGATAGTTTGAGTAAGTTGCTAAATTAGTCACTAGTCTTTTTTTTTTTTTTAGAAATAAAGTCGCTAAGCTGTCGCTAAATCTATCGAGAAAGTCAGCAAATTGGCAACACTGCGTGTCTGTGCCGCTGTGTGCCCGATGTAAACAATCGCAAAGCTCACGTTTATTTGAGTGGCACAGAATGGGACTGATCGGCTGGTCGCAGGTCATGGCCGATCAATTGTTGCATCTCTACTGAGAAATTTAGGTGGAGCTCAAAAATATTGCACCTTCGGTGCCACTGATTTTTCTTTGTAAATTTATATTTTCCTGTATATGTGTTTCAAACGTGGTGTTTTAATCCTGGGTTTGTAGGGTGTTGACACAGTTTGATCCGTATGTGTCAGAATAACAGTATGTGGTCGAATGACAGAGGGAGATTGAGAGAGTGACGGTGGATGCGCCCAAAGCCGATAGGTGTTGGCAGTAAGAGCTCAGGAGAAATGAGCAGTTACGTTGTCAAGTGGTAGTAGATGCACATCGTAGGTTTCAGCTTGTCCATGAATAAACACTGCAGCTCCTCAAGATTCAAGTAAAGTTCCCGAATCTTGTTTCCCAACTGCTGGCTACTGTTCATAATTGTCATGGGATGCAACCTAGCTCTGTTTAACAAAGTAACACAAACCATTGCCTGTCCATGGTGTGATGGCATGTGACTGAAATAGGGAAATAACAGAAAAAACAATTGTCCACAGTTATTATAGACACTACCACTGACTATCCCTGTAACTTTTTGGTCATAACTTAACTTACTGATACCATATACAAGGTTTTGACCTTGTCTTGTTGTTAAAAAAATGTAAGTGTCAAGCCCTATCAGGATAACCCTGATGAGAGTATTAGGATTTTCTCTCAGACTTTGGAGAGCTCCCTTCAGAGCAACAGAATACATTTTACCACTGTTTACACAGAATGAGCAGTACTCCTCATTAGGGCTGGGTTAAAATCCTTGATTCATCTGTTTCAAATCAATCTTCATTTGAATGATCCAATATTGATTCATAAAATCTCAGATCGATCTTTTACAATCCGCCTTTTTCCACAGATGCACTACACTTTAATCCCTTTAATCTCACCGGCATTAAATGGGCCCCGACTTAAATTATCAAAGACTGTCATATTAATAGGATCAGACATTATCAGTTATTTTATCTGTACTTTTTAATGTTTTGGTGTAATTTACTTTCATGTGCTGCAGCACTGCCTCCTGCTGTCTGTGCATTATGGCTGATTCTCCACATACTCACACAAAGACAGCAGAGCTGACAAGCCGCTGTGGGGATGGTTGAGTGAAGATGACACTAACTACGTTTGTTACTTAAAGTGTAATAAATCATTCGCAAGTGAAAAGGCAATATTTTATCAATAAATTTGCTCAACAAGCATAAACATGTAAACATGTAGAAAGCGATATTTGAATCTGCTCTGTCTGCACTCTCTCATCCACAGCTGCTTGTGTTATGTTTTACACAAGCTAAGCACATTAGCTCAGCTAATAGCAAATTGTTAAAAACAAACTCAAACAACAACAGCTGTTAATGTCTAACTGTGTAGCTTAGTTTGCCAAATTTACCAGCGGTAATGTTACCTGCAGGCGGTGATTCCATCAGCAGCAGAGGGAGGAAGACAGAGGACAGGAGGACTAATACTGACTGACTGTCTGTGTTCTTCATTCTTTCTAAATTTCACTCAGTACCCTATTTTAATGTCAGGAAAATGATTTACTGTATGTTGCCAGTGAGATCTTATTGAGTTATGTAGTGACTTTGCTGTTGTAATGTTACTGTTGCTGCTCTATACATTTTGTTCAATTTAAAAAATTTCAATTCTGACCCTGCTCTGAATTTATTCTTTTTTAAAATCATTCCTTGTACAATCTACAACATTATTCTCTGAGAATTGGTATTGTAATGGAAATATCCCAATTGAATAGATATTGCATCAATCAATGAATTGAATCAGAAATCAAATCAGAACCTTGTGAATCGAAATTGAATCGATATAGGGAGGCAGTGGCGATAGCCAGCCCTGCTCCTCATGATGAGTAAACTGAATTTAAAATTTGACTTTGGTGGAGTGCCAAGTGCCAGGTTTTTAACCTAGGTGCTTGAGCATGTTTTTGTTCTACAAATCTCCAAGTCAATGCATGTATGAATAGATTTCTAGGAGTGTTTTTGCTACTGTTGTGGCTCTAAAAGACTTGGTTGAACTCTGCAGGTATGAGGAGAAGGCAAGAAAACACCTGGAACACCACGACCAAAGGACCAAGTTGGCCTCTGCTGAAGGCCCCAGAGAGACGAGCGTTAGCACCCCAAGGGGACATGCACAGGGCCAGAAACGCAAGGCCCCACTGTCCAACCAGCAGCTGCTGGACCAGCTCTTCTCTGAACAGCCCCAAAAGAAGACAAGGAGCCCTGCACCTAAGCCCTCGCAGCCCCTCCCCTGCAGTGTAGCTGCCCTTCGGCTGCAGCTTCAGCGCCTTTCATCCCAGAGCAGCACAGTGCCACAGGGCCTCCGTCTTGTAAACCGGCTGGCCTCTCTGAGCGCCTGGGTCATTTTATGTGGTCAGAGGCTCATGTTGTTAAACCCATTTCGAGTGGAGGAGGCCTTGCTGTTTAAGAGACTCCTAGAGAATAATATACTTCCAGCAGTGAGTCTGCAGAACCCTATACAGTTAACAGATGGGTAACGTATCACTCACTTCTTAACAGCACAATGCCAATCCTGACAGCACACTCATCCTATTTCTTTACATACATATACAGTATGTTTGAGACAGTTTTTAAGACAAATAAATCCTAATCCTTGGTTTCTGTTAAAGCTTTTATAATGTATGATATAATCACTGTTGTTGTATGTTAAACATGTCCGTGTCTCTCTTTTTAATAGAAATCTAGGGGGAGCTGAATATACTGAAGCTTTGTGCAACATGGAGAAACAAAGCCCTGAGCTAAATGGAGGGGCCCTCTTCTCTGATCCCAGGCTTGTGGCTAATGGGTTTAAAATCCAACTCACTCCAGGTATAAAAATTCAGACTGTATGAGGTAGTCTTATATGATTGAACATTAATTTGCCAATTGTGTTCCTCTGAACCTGATTACAAGCTTCTCTTTCTTTGAGTTTAGCTGTTTAAAGGTCTCATGGATCATCCAGTTTTATTCAACAAATGTTAGAGCCATTTGCCCTCATTGAATGTCATAGTTCACCAGTCACCTAGAAATGTCAAACGTACAGTCCCAAGTAACTGGATTACAGGCAATTATTTCTGACAGAGTTTCTGTTTATCGGATTAGTTGTGGTACGACTCAACAATATTCCCATTCCCTCAACAAATTAGTCCATCATGAACAACAATGAATGATGAAATAGTGAATGTGATATAACCTTAACATGTTTTGTTTTTTCGTAATTAAAGCATGGTCTTTTATAATTGATCATGACACGTGTAATAACAACTTTGACACATTATAACAACATAGTCATACAGTATGTACATGACCTTCTTTATTTGCACACATGTACAAGGAGTAAAGTTTTGTGACAAGTTATCTCTGAAATAAGCACACGTTTACAATTAACATACTATGAAATGAGACATACTAACAAATAATCTGGTAATGTTGAACAGCTAGTTTGTTTAATGCAGCTGGTACAAGATATTAAAGTAACTGATAAGAAAAGATAATTGATGCATCTAGACTGACAGATTGCTCTGATAATTACAGTATACATTATTGTAGTTTAATCATTTATATACTATACTTATATACTAATAAATTAGGGAAAAAGTAAAGGTTGTGTAAATTATAATGTAAAATAAATCAGAATAACTCCAATTAAACTTGTTTTTGTCGGCTTCATCATCATTATTGTGACAATATTTCTCAGCTGGCTTGCAGAGCGGTATACAGTGTCCTGTGAGTGTTGGTTGTTTTGGTTGCTGGAATGGTTCACCTCAGTTGACATTGGCTCTCTGCCTGACAGAGTGGTCTCACAGTGGGGTTTGTACCCCAGCGTGCAGGTGATGAGAATGGTTGCCCTTTAAGAAATTCAAGGAATTTTCATTTGGCACTGCCAGCCTCGGTGGGTGTGCATGGGACTGAAGGTAGCGGCATATATAAGATGGTTTCATTGCACAATCTCTGCTGCATACCTTATCCTTTTCCTAGGATTGGTTTGCGTGTCATGTTTATTTTGCAAAAACCTTTAAGGAAGTTTGTTACTGTCAGTTATTGCTCTCTACATATATTTTAAACAACAAATTTATTGCAACACAACCTGCACAGAAATATTTAAGAAATATAACTGCCTCTGCACCTCCAGGTTTTTTTGTACCTCTGTGAGTTGATTTTGAATCCAAAGTCGTGTATCAGAAATATGAATTGTGCATGATTTGCAGTATTTCCTCATGAAATGAGAAGCTATCATTCTTCCACCCTACAAGACAACTTCCTTCCAGTCTGCTGGGGCTTCTATTAGTCATTTAACACTCCATTTGGCCCTTTGCTTGTTTGACTTGGTCATCAGTCCGGCCGTAAACCACAATATTTATTTATTATTCTTTCCTGGAGATAGTAGTAGCGTCTGGAGTATATTAATCCTTGTTTTCTGCTTGTTTTGGCAAGGCCTCACGTCAGCCGAGAGACATCTGGAAGTGACAGCAATGGCAGACTGCGTGCCTTTCCTCGGTGTGGAGGACCTTAGGGAGATCCTGACTGCAGTTCTTCACAGAAAGGCCAGGACCGTGCAAGAGTGCCGGCCACTTAAAGTCACAAACTACCTACAAGTGAGATATTAACAATGGCATTACTGCAGTTTTTTGTGTGTGTTTTATTAAATATCTAAATTGCGACTTTGCCCCACAGGGTGAAGCAGTACGACTTGCCCGTCAGTTACCTACAAAGTTATCCAGGGAAGATGTGGAGGAAACCCTTCTACGGATGGATAAGCAGCTCGCTGAGAGCAACCGGACCTGCATCCATGGACGACCATTTCTCCAACACCTATCTGACATCCCTACTACAGACCAGGAAGCTAAAGCTCTGCTGAAGCCTTTAGAGCTGTGAGAAGTAGACGCCTCAATAAAAATAATCACAGCAATAAATTATTAATGGAGCAGCTGTCTCATTTTAATGCAGCTGATTATTCCCAAAGTAAATTAACTCATTTGTTTTCATTCAGCTCAAATGATGTCCAACTTTGTTACAAGCAGAACATAAAAATAAAAGTATTTTTCCACATTTGTGCTTTGATGAAGCATGTTTCTTGTGAACCTCAAATTGCTCATTTTCATTTTGATCATTCACATCACAATATATTACATAACATTTAATTTAATACATAATTACTGATGACTGTATGTGTGATGTCTGTTTTTCACATAGCTTCAAAAAAGGGGGGGGGCTAGTTGCTGTGAAAGGACGTAAGTTAGAATCCTTCGACTGGCTCAGAAAGTCTTGATGACGAGTGTGAACAGGAAATGTTCCCTTAGCATCTACTGTTGTCTGGCTGCTTAAGCAATTAACTTAATACGTTGTAAATTTCTGTAATGGTTGAGGACGAAAATTAAAGTGCCAGTGTGTACAATTTATCTATTGGCAGAAATGGTGTATTATATTCAGTACTATGTTTTCATTAGTGTATAATCGACAAGCGGCAACCTCCAGGCCTGAAAAATGAAGCAACACTGAAGTGCCAAAAAATGCAGTTCCTTGAATGGCCACTTGAGGCGGGTTCCAGAAGTCAGTCAATCTCCATGTTAAAACACCCAACTTTAAAGCAGAAATAAATATGTTTACAGCCTGTTACACAAAAACTGTTTTGGTCCCTATGGCAAATTCCAATGGTAATTAAGGCTCAAAGTTCTGCGCATTTAACGGCACACTGCTTTGAGTGACAGGCTGTCTGCAGATAGTGCCCTTGGCTATTTCGTCAGATCCACCCTTCGCTCCTTCACAGTTCAAGCCTCTCACCCAAATATGGTCACTTCTGTGTCCAAAAAAACACTTAGGCTTCAAAACAGGAGTCCACAAACCAATTGGTAACATCATGGTAGCTAGGTCCATTAATTTTTTCGTAATCACCTGACTGGAATACCTTACCTTAGAAAGGGCTGTTTATATCTTTATATGGAGCGGGTCCTCTCCCACGGAGTCTGCCGTGCTGTTCTACAGTAAGCTGGAACAGACAAATCAAAAACTGGCTCCAGATAGGGCCATTTGAGTTTTTTGAGCATTTTCGTGCCAGCCTCTATAGTTCTCTTTCATGCTTGGCATATGAAAGAAGATTCAGTCCTGCAACCTCACCGTTTAAAGTCATTATATCTTACATACTGTACTAGACCTTTAAGTGTGTCTTACTCACAGTATGAATGTGTCATGGTGTGGAAATAGCTAATTCTTTCCATAGATTTTTTCCAAGAACTGGTAAAACAAACCCTAGAAGCAGTGGGGATTTGCATGTTTAAAGAAAAGACAATGCTCTGGTGAAACTACAGTAAATCCAATGACATTGGATCCCTGTAACAAAGAATTCATATTTTAACCTAGATACAGCCACTCAATAAAGATGAGCCAGGATGTGCAACAAAATAGAGACACTGACAGGTGAAAAATGTTTGCGCAGCACCAGGAATAGCTGGTTGGTTAGTTAGTAGTACAGGGTTCTCAAGGTCATGAAATTCCTGGAAAAGTTATGAAATTAGAGAAACTGTTTTCCAGGCCTGTTTCGACTATTGTTAAAATATTTTTGATAAAAATCCCAAAAAAGTCTAATATTACATGAAACATGTTCCTCGTATTACTAATTTACAATCCAGTTCTTCACTGCCTGACCGTTGAAACATTAGTATCATGTGATACACATAGACCAGAATGGCCTTGGGTCATTGCCAAGGCCCTATCCCCATTCGGAGGAAAGAAATTCGCTGTAGAGGAAAGAAACACGAAAATGCCATAAAGCTGTTTCGTAGCGGGTTAATTGAGGTTTTCACACTGAGATCTGAAGCACATGAGATACATGAATATTCATGGTAAATGTGGTAAATGTCTAAATGAGGCAAATGATGGATAGCTAACATGAGCTTGAGGGAAACAAGCATTTGTTTACAAAGAAATAAATGCATACTTAGACTTAGTTCCTCCCGTTCCTATTGGAACATTGGGCAACAAGTCCCTTCCACTTGCTCCAGTCCCTGGCGACCCTCCTTAAACCATGCAAGCTGACAGCCATCTTGCTTAGGTCTTCCTTAAACATCAGTCTCCACATCTTCTTTGGCCTCCCTCTTTTCCTCTTGCTGCCCTCAGGCACCCAGTCCATTGCCACAATCGCTGGTCTCTCTCTTGACAGTCGGAGTACGTGTCCAGCCATTCTTCTTCTCCTGTCAGAGACCATGTCAGACCAGGGGCGATTCTAGGATCAGAGGTTTAGGGGTGCTTAGCACCCAGAGAGCTGCCCGGCCAGGCAAGATAAATTTTACTGTTTTGTACATTTTAACTCAATTTCATTCCCACATTTGTGAAAGTAAAGCACAACACTATTTGGGAAAGTCTGTGACTAAACCATCAAATGTGATAAAGGTTATTTAAATGTTGAGCCACAGCAAAAGAGGAATGGATTGGAATCATAAAAGAAACATATCGTAACCCTAATTTCTGGGGGAAGACAACTCATTTTGATACAGCAGCTCTTCAACATTCACATAAACAGTATGTATGTTTCTGGAGTAAACCAGCCCCCTATAGTGAGTACCAAAAATACCAAAAATGGACCTTGGACTTAGTTTTTGGACTTTTGTTTGAAATAAAATGCACAACATGTAACATTAACACATTAACAGTAATTGACTTTTCTTTTCCTTTTTCCTTCTTGTCTGTATTATATAATACAAATACATAAATAAAAATACACTTCAAAAAAGAAAAGTGCTTGAAATCTACAAAATAATAATAATAAATACACACAATAGGAGTTATAATGTTAATGGGCATCCAGTCAGTTAGCTGGTCAGTAGCACCTTGGCTTTAATCGAGGGCGTAGGTTTGATTTTCACATTGGTAGGGACATAAAAGTGCTCCATGGCGGCGACCTGTACGTTGATGATTTTTTAATGCAATTTCACGTAATGTGAAACTGATCACTGCTTTATAATGAAAATTTAGATATCTACACTAAATACAAGAATGTCTTGGTTAATGTATTCTCTAATGTTATCAGTTACATGAATATACACTGATAACTTCACCACATCTGTCCGTATGTGCTTCCCAGGGTAAACTATAATAATAACATTAACAGTATACTCTGAAGGGGCTTAACTTCAGTACCAGCCTGCGGTCTGCAGTTGGGATGGTAATAGTGATCCGAATTGATATTGGTTTCGGGTAAAAATATATATTATGCATGAATCAATATTTTTACTTACCCCTAGTCACAATGCTGAATCTCACTATCAACATATATCCTTCATGATTCAATCTCACCTGAGGCTCCTGTCTCTCCTCTATCTCCCCCTGTCTCTCTTCCATTTCCTTCTGTCTCTCTTCCTGCCTCTCCTCCTTCATCTCCTCCAGTCTGTCTACTACTTATCATCTGACAAAAAATATATTGATGAAAGACGTGAACAGTGGAACAATTTGAGGCAGTCATTTGTAGCCTGAGGGAAACATACTGTATGTTTTACAATTGTGTAATTCATTAAACATCTGAATGTATATAGGCTAAAGAACAGCCATAATGTCAACACAAGTTAGTCAGCTTCATCATGTTAAACATAAATACAATAAATCAACAAAAATGTAAATGCTCCAAAACTATTATAATACAACTGTGTGCAAAATGTTGCACTTACACCCAATATCTATTACATGAATATGACTCAGTGTTGGTGTTTTTACTGGGAGCACTGGATCTCTCTTCTCCTAAAGCTGCGTTCACACCAGGCGCGAGTGAAGCGAATTACTCGCGCGTAACGCGAGAGTTTGGACGCTGGACCATTTTGTTAATTCCCGTTATTGTATCATTCGCGCAAGTAGCGAGGAAGCTGGCTGTGCTACCTGGAGCTAAGCAAGTGCTAACGTTCATAGTGCAACCATTCTGCAAACTAATTAAAGACACATATTTGCAGAACTTACCAAGTAGACCAGTCTCCTCGGCGACTTTCACCCAAGCCTGCTCCTTTTTTACGGTGACACGCCTGTATGTGTCGTTCCCTCATAAACTGCCGTAAACTGTAAGGTGACGCGCACCCACAAAGTCAGTGGAGAGAGCGGCGCTGGGGAGGACCAATCACACGTTACCAAAATAACAGTAGAGCCAATCGATGAGCAATACGAGGTTAGAGGCGGGACATATGGTAGACACCAACAATTGTTAACCCTTTGTGTACCATATTGAGCGGACGCCGACAGCCAGTGTTTATATTGGTAGGGACAATACAGAAGGGGCTGAATATTGGTAGGGACGTGTCCCTACCGTCCCTACCCAATCCTATGGCTTTAATATTAACACATGCACATGACACAACAGTTAGCTTCTCTCATTCCAATTCAAACAGAGGACAGTGGTACTGACCACCTGTAGCTAGAAAAAACGTCAGCTAACTCCTACCTGACAACATCAACAGTGACCTACGATTAAATGCAGCAAAAATGAAGACTGGTAATGATAATAATGTGTTGGTATAGAGTGGTAGAAGTTAGGAAATGTGCCACATATCCTGGTTTAAGCCAGGTACTTAGACCACTACTGCATATCACCCACTCTGGAAGGCAGTGCATTGCTCTGTGCAGATAGAGTGCTCAGAGCCCGAGTCGGGGTAAGGTGGGAGGGATGGGGTGGGCTGTATTTTTGTTGTTAAAATATTACGTTGCAACCAAGTACTGTATGGTTTTGACGCTTTTGTAGCATGTTCAAAAGGGACATACAGTAAAAAAAAAATTTTTAAAAATCTCTCAAATTTTAGGGGAGCTGGGATTCAATTTAGGGGTTCTGAGGCATCGTCGGTGGAAGACATCCAACATGTTGGTAATGCTGGCAGTCCTCATCTACGTCTTGCAGGCATAGGTCGCTGTTGGAATGACCACTGACATATACAGGTGTAGCTTGATGGCTGTAGTGATGACTTTGGACGACCATATGCTGTGGAGCCTTGGCACAGCCTTGCAGTTTTGCCGATTCTCGTTCGTACGTCTTTCTCCACATCTCCTTCATATAAATGCATACAAACTTGTTAAAATTATAA